TATATATATATATATATATATATATATATATATATATATATATATACATACACATACACACACACACATACATACAGTACATCATTTATGCAGATTTACCGTTTACAGCTATACGAGTATTGTAGTATACTTATCCGTGATTACCCCAGTTTGTCTGTACATTTAGACCCATTTATTTGTTTGTGAAATGGTTTCGGTGAGATGGATAATAGGATACATAAGCACACATTCATATATTATATGAATACACTGTATTATATTACATTGATTTAGAAGACGCCGGCGTACAAGCGCGTGCATCCACATCCATTCGCCGTTAGTCATATCCGATAAATTATAAGAAATAAAATCTATTTATCCGTAGGTTTTGTCAGATATTATGAATGAGTGTTGTATTGTAATCATAAATGTCTGCTTGGCAGTTTTTTTGAAGGACCACACGCCAAATAAGTTCCTTGGTCGACACCTGTTGTTCAATAGTCTGGACTTTGAACTTTTCATTGCTGGGGACCTGGAACGGGAGTGTTTGGAGGAGGTCTGCACTTATGAGGAGTCCCGGGAGATCTTAGAGAATATTCCGGAAACAGTTGAGTATACTGCTCTGCAAGATATACAAATCACCATTTTTACTGTGGCAGCATGGTCACCGAATGAACTTTTGTTTTTCAGGATGCTTTCTGGCAGCACTACATCAAGGGTATGAAACGTCTAAACACTGTAAATATTCCAGTGAGAGCATCACTGGAGGGAAGGCCCTACTATTTGTGATAATCTGCATGCCGTAGCCGCCGCACGCATACTGCCTGACGCCGTGTAAGGGTTCAGCGCTCGCTGTGGTCACGTCCCGCCAGGCCACGTTAACCGCCCGTCGAAGCTGGACGTGCCGGCTCTCCTGATTGGCGTCATTGCGGCCAGCGTGGCTATCGTCATCATCGCGCTGCTCTGGTGCTGCCGTCCAAATGCGATGAGATGGAAGATTGACAGGTCTTCCCGGTAAGAGGGCCGACGTCGCCCAGTCCCCAGTGTTGCTGGTTCTTTAGTCAGGAAAGACCTAGATGACAGTTGCCTCCTAAGAAGATGTAGAAGGTAGGTAATGGGTGGATGGTCTTGCAGGGCCCGTCCTCGGCGGAGCAACGCCTCCCTCATCATCCGCCGCCTGGAGGAGCTCTCCATGCAGCCTGTGCGCCCCCAGCAGGATGAGCTCGCCCCTGACTCTTCTGGCTTGCCGACCTACGAGGAGGCCGTCGCCAGCTCTGGGCCCCAAGATGCCCCCCCCCCTCCGTACCCAGGGTGCGGTCACACCGTTAAAATTCCTGCAGTCGCTCCTCACCCCACCACCCTGACACTAAAATAAACCACATTGCTGTCAATGACTTTACCTGCGTAGGGGGCAGGTTCCATTAGAAAGATCTCTGTCAGTGATCGAAGTTCCATTTGACGTTGGAACAAGTTTGGCTACATGAGAAATTTGTGAGTTTTTGCATCCTGCTCTCCATTTTAAGGCTTATGCAGACAAAGCTTGGGTTCTGAGTACCCTTGCAGAATTTGTCACAAAGTTAAGGGCCCAACCCAATTGAGATGTCTACCTTCCCCAGTATGAGATTTGAACGAGCAACCTTCTGATGAGAGGGCTAACCTGCTGAGGCATACACTAGCCCTCTGAATGGCAGACTCAGTGGAAACAGAGAGGGGACATCTGTATCTCCATATATGCCTAGTATTTACCCAGTCATCTGGTAATGCTTATAACTGTTATTAGTGTAGTTCCTTTAGGAACCCAGGAACTCAGGAAAGAGCTGTATGTGTGATGCAGTGAAGGTCTTACTGAGGTTCCTGTCTTTGACTTTCAGATCGAAGCCTGGGACCTTCCAACGGTAGAATCTACCAGAAGACATTACTTCCCTTGGGCTTCCAGAAGGTTCCCCTCTGGTTCAGTTTGGTGAAGACACTCGGACTGCGTCTTGCTGTCTCTGTACAGTGTGTCCTCTCTCAGTCTCTGCGATGTTTGGTTATTGTTCAGTTGAGATATTGCTTTACAGATTTTCATAATGCTAAATGTGCTTCATAATGGCTGTAGTTAGCCATTAGCACATTTACAATAAACGTTTCTGGGTTTATCTTTATTTTTTATGTGGGGAATAATTCTTCAGATACAGTATAAGTGGTATTTAATCATAAATAACATTATTTATTTGCTGAGTTGCATCGAAGAGCAACAAAAACCTGTTACTTATTTAAGTTTGGCTCACAGAGTAGGACACTCTCCGTAGTGTACACTGTAAGACAGCCTGTTAGAATGTTGGATAACCATTTTACAGGCCTCACAGAGGGGGACACCACCTGACCCAGAACCCACATTTACTTTCTGCAGGCCAAGGCGTTGTGATGAACGTGGTGGAGCTGCTTTTAATCACATCTGTGTTATTCCCATGGCTTTACTTCTCTACTGAAGGTATTAACAATGAAGATCATGGACAGTTTCAAAGGAAGCTGTTTTCCGCCAGGCAGTGTGGTTCAAATTCAGCTTTTACACAGAAGGTTCTGGTTTTAGTCATAGAGGGTCAAACGGTAGAAGTGTTGTTTATCTATACAGCTCCTTATTTATATCAGCTCCTATTGAGCTGTGTGTTGGCTTTCACACCTCTGTCTCACTTTTATACCAGCTACAGTTTTGATGCCAATATAACATTAACATGGAATACATTTTTAAAAATCTCTAAAGCAAATGGTCGCATCTCAGAACAATTTTGCTGTTCATTGTAGCCAAACCTACGTACACACAGCTTTAAAGGAGCCTTGGCAAGATAAACAATAAATAAATGTTCATTGAAGTTTAATCCAGTGCAGTTTTCTTGACATTATTACATACGACTAAAGCATTGTCTTTCCTTCTTGTGTAAGAAGCCGAATGCAGTTTGCTTCTGGTTTCTGGTCTGGCTGAGATCTTGCTTATTTTTTTAATTTGTCTTGATGTGGTTCTGTCTGAATTGTCAGGTAACGTAAAGCTCTCACTGTGGACAAGCAAAACGTCCATGTTTAAACATGAAGCCTCACATACAGGAGAAAAAAATGAAATTTATAATGAACCTAAGGCTTATTTTGCTCATTTATTAAAAAATATATTAATTAAAACAATAAGGAAATGTTTCATATGGGGAGGAAATTGGCCAGAGGTCTAGAATGCTGTCAAACAATGAATTAATGACAGGCAGAAGCAATCAATCCCCGCCTCCTTCACTCCTGATGATGCAGCTACACATTGTTTTTTTTTTTCAATGAGATCTAGGTGCGCAAGGAGAGGATGTGCAATCTCTGCATGCAGAAACATTCAGGGCCTGCACATGTCGAAGTGTGACTCAGTGAATTTCGAAGTCTTCGCCACTCCCAGTTCCAGGACAAAGGTGATGTTTTCAGCTGTTAGATCCTGTTCGGGCTGCTTTGTCATCAATGCCTAGAAGAATATGGGCGTGTGACACAAGTTGCTTGTACCGGAAAGCGCTTCCTCCAGCCAAACAGGGCACAAATACAGACTCAGATGCCAATAAAACCCTGGTTATAGGGCAGAGGGTAGCAGCTTTGTCAGTATTTATAGAGCCACACTTACATAAGCGACCGCGTTAAACTGAGACCGACGTTTGCCAGATTCGGTTAAATCCAGTTGTGGTCTCCACTTCGCCAGGCTTTGTGGCTCAATGGGTTACCATGCTCTCCTTGTGATTGGATGGTTGTTGGTTTAAATCCATCATTGGGCTGTTGATTGAAACCCTTAACTCCCAATTGCCCCAAGAGCACTGCCTGACCCTGTGCTGTGACTCTTGCTTTAACCTGTCTGTCTCATGGAGAGCAAGATGGGATGTGTGAAAAAAGCCTCCCTCCAGGGTTCAATGAGGCATCACTATTTTAAGAAATTATTATTGTTATGATTTATTTCTCTTTATTAGAGGGTCAAAAACCATACAGCAAGGTGACGGCAAATTGTTGGGAAGGAAAGATAGAACAGAGGTATATAGAACAGATGGAAAGACAGGGAAAAAAACTCAAAAAATACGATGACAGAACCATATGGCGTTATTATGAGGTATATATGTGTGGACTGCTGAGTGTGTGTACTACAGTATCCCTTAACGGTGGGCATATATGTGTGTGTGTGTGTGTGTGTGTGTGTAAAAATGATACATTGTCAGGTAGAGATGGAAGAGTGGTGAGGTCGGAGCAAAAGGAAGATAGATTGGAGGAAGGCTGCTGTTTGATCCAACAAGGTACAGTAGGTGAGCGGGCCAGAGGGTGAGGCATGGCGGCCCCTAGGACAGCTATCCATCCATGACACCCCACCCCAGGCAGACCACACCCCGCACACCATGGTACCCCTATGCTTTCCCCTTTAGTCTGTATGAGTGGGGGAGAAAGTACTGATCTGGTATGATGCATTGAAAGAAGCAGGTCATGCAGGCTAGTTCAGCCCAGAGCAGGAGAGGAAAAGCAGGCGGGAAAGCGGCCACCAGAGGGAACCCCCCCCCCCCACCCAGACCAGCTTGGAGACCCATCCTCAATGCACCGGATGACCCAGCCCCCTAGAGGCAGAGGGCAAAAGGGAAGCGAGGCAGCGGAACAAACCAGAATCTTTGGAAACATAAATTTAAGTATAAACATGAATACTAGTGTAGAAAGAAACTATCAAAGGAAGAGAGGAAACAAAAGCAGCTTCCTAGGTAAATATAGCAATGACAGGGAACATACAAGTACCAAACAAACAATGACAAAATAATAATATTAATAATAATAAAGGATAACATAACCACAAAGAAGAAAAAATATAAAAAAAGAAAAAGGGGTAAAATACAGTAATCATAAATACTAGAGTGGCGATACTGAAATAATGTATTTAAGTTATGCTAAGTAAATGTATTTAGGTGGTGATGTAGTGATGTAAGTGGTGATGTAGTGGTTAACACTGTTGCCTTGTGCCTGTGGGACCTGGGTTTGCGTCTCCACCCAGGTTCCGTATATGTGGAGTTTGCATGTTCACCCTGTGTCATCGTGGGGATTCCCCCAGGTTATCCAGTCCCCCCCCCAAGTCCCGCCCTGTGGTTGTTCCCCACCTTGTGCCCGTAGCCTCTGAGCTCTGGACCCCCCGTGACCCTGAACAGGATTAGTGGTATCAGAAAATGGATGGATGGATGGAATACATATGTACTGCATTCAGTGTGTTAAGTGCGTAAGCATTATAATTAAGAACTACTTCTCCTCCCACCGCTGCCAAAACTAACAACAATAATAAATTATCCTCCCTATTTTTGTTCCTCTTTTCCCTATTTTCATTCCTCCATAAACACATACGCAATTGCAGACATAACAGGGTACTTATGTACCAACATGATCAAATACAAAGTGTGTGATGTTATAAGTGCAGAACTTTTTATTGTTTTGAGCAGTTGTACGCATTGTGATGAAAACTTTCTTTCGGTTCGCCAGACTATGAAAACTTAAAATCCAAAATAGATCAAAATAAATCCAACAAAATGGATTACATGTGAACCTTTACTTTACTCTCAGTTCCACCTAAATCATTTCTGAAGCCGGTGGAAACGTGGGCAGGTTCTCAGAAGGCACCAAGCGAGAAGCAGCCTAGCACTGTTGGTGGAAATGAGGAAATGTGACGGTATTTAGATAAACCTGTAAAGCGACGTGATTCAATTGATGTGAAATGTCCAAGTCACTAATAGATGTCACTATAGATGTCACTCTTAGAATGCCTCTTGTACTGTACAATCACATTTCTTGGTCAGAACCAACTGTTGTATAATTTTACATCACACGCACAGATTCATATATTACATGGTATTACATTACATTCATTTCTATGTTCATTTCTGCCATTTGAACAGAGATGGTTTTTCTAAATGGAAACTGCCAGGATATCTATCACTTTCTGTCTGGTGTCTGATCACACACTGCCTGGTATCTAACAAGTACAATCTTGCTGATTTGGGGCAATTTCCTTAGTGTAGCATCATTAAGAACATAAGAACATAAGAACATAAGAACTATACAAACGAGAGGAGGCCATTCGGCCCATCGAGCTCGCTTGGGGAGAACTTAACTAATAGCTCAGAGTTGTTAAAAT